GAAAGGGGGGGGGAGAAGTTGGAGGGGGGGGGGGGGGGGGGGGGGGGGGTGCAGGTAAACACATGTGTCGACGAGGGACGGCGAGGGAGGAAATGGCTGGTTATAGGGCCGATTTCACGTCACGGCGGCACCAGTGAGAGGAGCTCCTGCTAGCACCTTTGATTTAGCTATGAATGAAGGTCAAAAAAGAGAGGGAAATGCAAGTCAATGCTGGGGAGTAGTTGAGTGGCATCATTGCAAGTTCATGTACTGTACTTTCTCAAAGTCGGGAGTTTGTTAACAGAGTACCCCGAACTACATTCAATACTCATCATCGGCGATCCCGGGTATATAACTGATGACTGTACGTCATTCGCGTGGGTTCGTTGATTTTTTCACACCCGTGTGCCGCCACCATGCACAATACACAAGACGTAACGACGACTATGTCGTAAGATGCATTAGTGACGCAGCTGGTACAAGTGCGGCGGCAGATTGCGATGCTGCACCTTCGGAGGCATCGACAGCAGCAGGGTCCCCATTACTCATACAAGTGTAGTACCATCACCGCAAAACCACGAGGTTGATCATGTCGCACAGCTGCTGCTCGCTGACCCTTCGTCGGTCGGCAGCATGAACACGTTCAATCCAATACCTCCATCGTGCCCTGTAACTACTAGCTACCGACGGATCCGCACAGGCCGGGGTCTTGGCACAGAGAGTGCGGAAAATATTCGGGTTCCAAGGGATTTGATTGAACATCACACAGGTATCGTTCACTTTGCCGGCGGTGTGCGGAGACCCCGATACGCCCGGTAAGGTTGAGCGATACCACGAGTGGTGTCCAGCGATTGTCGCGGGATACTACCGGTTCACGGAAGCGTTGCATGATGGGCCCTACCGCTGTGCCTTGGCTCTGTAACGTTGCTCACGTGCAACTGACGTCATTTCAATACTTCCAGAACATGCCTTGTTGTTCAAAATTGTTCTCCGAGTACATTGTATTAGAAAACGACAAACGGTACCAACTCGATCAACCAATAACGCACACCAACCAAACGAGACCAAATGACCAAAACCACCTGCTCAAGGGAAAACAGGTATAATACGTTACCGGGAAACAATGCGTACACTTGGCCAAAGCAAGGTTGGCAGGCAAAAATTACACCAGAGTAACTTATCTTCCGCAAATTTTCAGGACCAAACTAATTATTTACTTTCCGCACAGGATTTTTATTTACGCAAAGGTATCGGCGTCTTGGCACCCCTGTGTGTTGAAAAAATCTGGACGACAGCATACAAACAAAAAAGCGCCAACACTCAAGAGTGGGCCAGGACTGACGGTTCTCAAAAGTTATGCGGTACGTAAAACCCAAAACATGAAAAAAATAAAACCAACTTCAAAGAGGTAAGCTCCCGTATAACTCATGACTTTTGCAACGTGCTACCCATGTGTCTTACGCGATGTCCATGTGCCAGAATCCCCCCGAACGTCGAATATTCTTGGGGAACTCGAGATAATACCTGGGTAGCCTCGTGAGCCTTGTAGTATAGTAGCACGTTGAAGGTTCAAATCTCTTCCGGGAGTATAGAATCTACTTGTACACTGAACTGCTTCTTCAGCGCTGAAAGCACTCGTCGTGAGTATGCAAAACAAGAGGGAAAGGACTCTTGAACCCATCTCGTGTGTTATAAATCGAAGGCAACGACCGTAGGGGCGACAGGTGGGACAGTGAGAAAAATATCCCTGTGATACGCTGCTCTTCGATGACCCCGGCTGACAACAAGTCGAATATAACCAAAAGGTGCATCAAAACACGCCGACACGGCAGTCTAGTTTTACATTACCATCTTGAGGTGGATTTCGGTCCATAGATGAGGAACTGGGTCAAGCCCGGGCCTAGGGTGTGCTTGTCTTGTCTGATGTGTGCTGTGTAGCAATTTCTTGGGTGCGGGCTCATTTCTCTCGGTGTGCGTGTGTGGCGCAGAAGAGCAAACAAGTCGCAAACACACGTCATCTTTGTTGAACACCACCAGCCTCGGAATAGTCATTTCCTGAGTCTCCGCGAAAAAAAGCGGATATGTAGTTTCAAGTTTGGGAAAAGTTTAACACAACATGGCCGCTTGTCGCAGATTCTCGAACAAAACCCCGGAGAATGTTATGGTTGAAAATGAACCGGGAACGTCAAAATTGAAATGCATCACGATACGGACGGCGAGGGCCCCGGTTTAGCGGCTCGACGTAACCGTTGATCAGGGTTGGTCTGGGAGCCTCGACCGTTCAACCCCCCACGTTTGCGGAGAAATAGAAGCATCGTATTGACGGGTCACGCGTGTGTCTCATTGGAAGAGTCACAAGAAGGTAGAAGGTAGCTAAAGCACTTACACTGCAGGTTGGACACAGAAAAGCACAGAGGAAACGATTTCACGCATTTCGATACATACCCAAAACACACAATGGTTAATCTTCCCCTCCCGACTGCTGTCAACACGAAAAACAAAAAAACGTGGACAGGGGAACAGACCACGACATTGATGGGGTGGGGCCCCTGCAAACATGTTCCGATCGTGTGCGTACAAGCATCTACGGACTCGAGGGTGGTGGGGAAGCGTGCGCCTTCTTGGCTACACATCTGGATGGTGGGGAACCTGTCAACGCATCGCGGTTAAAGAACCGGCCGGCGAAGAGCTAAATAGTCGCCAACGATGTTTCCTGCGCTTGAGATGCCCAACACCCTGTAAAGCATCAGGCCCAAGCCATTGCGGCACGCCAGGTCCAGATTGGTAGCGAAAAGGCGAAAGACGCTGGGGTGGGGGTTCTCGTTCACGACAAATCTGCTGCATTGGTGAGCGGCCTTGAAGGGATGGTGAATCTCGGGTCATCCGCGGTTGGGAAAAGAGCGCGCGGAGTCATTCTTTGCGTCCTTCCGTGCCATTCCCAAGCGCTTGCACCACTACGTTTTCAAGTTTCGTGCAGCGTTGTCAGGGGAGGATGGATAGAGCTGGAGGATAATATCGTCAACGCTGTCAACCGCGATCTCGCCAAAACAGCGGCAGCAGCGGGCGAGGATTCGGACAAAAACTGCGGGTGTACTTTCTGCACTCGCCCCCCCCGTTGGCGATTTCGCCCAGATGGATATATCCCGCTCATCTAGACGGCACGGCATCGTTTGACCACACCAAGCGGGCGACCGACGAACTAACCGGGGTACACCAGCACAGGCGCTTATGGCTTCGGTAGCGGGGAAAACGGCTTCGCGCGGGGGGGGGGGGGGGGGGGGGGGGGGTCTCAAAAACCAACAACAGGGGGGGGCCCCTTGGCGGGGGGGAGGGGGGACACATTTTG